CGCTGCCCTCTCGCCCCCCCCCCCCCAATACCTCGGAATGTGCCTTACCTCACCACGCTGCCTTCATGGCACAGGTGGCTCTCGTGGATCGGAACCTTGAAGCCGGTGAGGCGAGCAAAGCTGCCCTGGATGAGCAGTTTGAAGCTCAGAGGACTCTCTTCATTCAGTGCGATGTTACACATGAGGAGCAACTGCAAGGTAAGGAGGGAGTCGGTCAATGTTATACACCATCTTACCATGCAGCAACCTGGAAAAAATAGGACTACTGCACCTATAACTGCAATTCAAGCTTCTGGAGGGCAGGCTGTTTCTGATCACTTACAAGCATACTCAAGTGGGATCTGTTTCTCCCTCAGCAAATGTGTGCGCCTTTGGGTTTTAGGACTTGGCACAGAGGAAAGAAAGAATAAAGATGTCACTGAACATTTAGTGATACTTTTGTATGAGAGCCTGTGCATTACTGAACATAGTTGTAGGTATAGGGTCATTTTATGAGTAATGTATTAAAATCTTTAAAGTACAGTGTGTAATAAAGGATAGTATTTAAAGTGTTTAATACAGCTTCATGGCAGACTCCGAAATGTGCTCTCTCAACGTGAAAGTCATAGTTTCTGTCCTGAGTGATCCACAATAGCTACTTTGCAATACAATGGAACTAGTCTGAATTTAGGTTGCTGTTGCTCAGATCAGAACCTAGCCTTAAATGCTGAGGATGAAAAGTTGCTCTTTAAGGTAAGAAATGACACAATACAGCTTTTTTACATTTTGACTTAAACCATTGCAAATAAAGAGCAAAGAACTCCTGTGATTTGTGAATGTTCTCAGGAATAAACCTCTCTACTGAGCTATGTATAATATTTACTTTTTATTCAGCATTACACAACAGACATCTTGCAAACACTTCATAATCATCACAACATCTCTTGAATGTTTGCATAGATTCACTGAGGCAGTGAGTTAGGTTAAAAAAAAACGTGGTCACTTATGTTGATGCTTTTTCCATGGAAAAAGATGTCAGATTTTATATAAACATAGTCCTGGCTGGGATGATTTAGTTGGAGTTGGTTCTGCTTTTAGCAGGGAGTTGGACTTGATTCTATAAAACATGATTCTATAAAAGAAAAAAAGTAAAATGAGCATAGACAGTATTCAAAACTGTTCTTGTCTTCAAAGAGGCTGTTGTTAATGTCACTTGATCAGTACTTTATTGTTTCATTGCTGTGAAATATGCACATATTGCTGAGTCAGACACCTGCATACTTTTTTAATATATATTTTTGTCTTTGAGTATTTTGCAACCCTGAAAAAAAGGCACCATTAAAGTGTTGTAAGCCTTTTATTCGGAAAATATCACCACCTTTAGGGACCCACAAAGCCACTTTTAGAATTCCCTACCTACATGTGTTGTGCTGAGAACAGAGGTTCTGAGGATATGGGCTCTTAAATTTATTTCTGATTCACATATTAAAACTCTGTGGATGTAATTTTTCAACAAGAGAGGCAATGAATCAGTAACTTCATATAGGAGGTATACATCAATTATTCATAAAAAGGCACAGTTCATCAAGGAATATGGTGAATTATTGAGAGTTTAAAGAATTACAATATTAATTACATTCTTGAGCAAGGATACACTCAAAGGATACATTCTTAAAATATTTGAGTTTTTCAGGCCATGTAAAGTTTTCTTTAAAATAAGATGCATAGAAGAGATTAGATTCTGAAATCCTTGAGTCCACCAAACTAATGCAAGATTAAGACATGATGACTTGATTTTAGAAGATGCTGAGTGAAAAGGTGGTTGCACTATCTTGGTTCCATTAACCATCTTAAATAGAATAGTAATAGAAATGTAGCCGTGTTAGTCTGATGTAGCTGAAACAAAAAACAGGATTATGTTTTTTGTTTAATCTTAAATAGAGTTACTGTTAATAGTTACTGAATTGCTAGACAAGTGTTCTATTTGTTAAACATTAAAGTACATGTTTAACAACTGTTTAAAATGGTAATTTAACACACTTTGGTAGGGTAACAAATATCATGCTTTGCATTCCATTTGTAACATTTAAAATATATGGCTAGCTAAGAAACTTTCTCTCTGTATTTTACTGTAGGTGCTTTTAAAAAAACAGTTGAACATTTTGGAAGGCTGGATGTTGTGGTTAATAACGCTGGAGTGAATAATGAAAAGGACTGGGAAAACACTATACAAATTAATTTGGTAAGCATTATCTGTTTTAAAATATCCATACTGTAATATCTAAAGTTGATATTTTAAGGGAGTTAGGCACTCACCTCTAATTTAATTTCCCTTAGGCCACTTTGAATATCCTAGCCTATAGTACTTGATTACTTAAGGTAAATTTTAGGGGAAACTTGTATTCTGTGGATTTGAGAGAGTGTTTTTGAGTTGTTGGCTTTTGTTTATATACAACATGTATGTCCTCCTGGAGAACATCTAAAGAAACAAGTTTATCATTTGAAAAGAGTGTTTCAAACAATTTTTATTTAAACCACGTGTAAATGCACTGATGCTCTACAGTTAAGTTTCTTTCCACGTATCATCATGTTACTTCAAATTAAAAATCCTATATTGCCTGCAACACACTCTTGCATGTACATACACAGCCTCAATCTCTCCTACATTCCAGTTTCATGAGTGCCCTTCACGGTCAGTGTATGGTTCAGCCCTACATGTACGTGCTTTAGAGTCACTATAGTTAATTAGATTAGTACATAAGCAAGTACTGTACTAGAACTGTAAAACTCTTCTCAAATACTGATCTAGCTTAACAGTCAACAATAAAATAAATCAAGCATGTTATGGCAACTCATTAATTGTTGTATATCTGGACATTATTAATGTTAATTATAGCAAAATATCTATTGGTTATATAGTGTTATAGGCTTTTCAAATCCTTTACTTTTCTCTACTTTTTCTAGGTTGTACATGCAGAGAAATAGTTTTCCCTTAGACCAATACCATATCTTAAATCTAGTTTTTTGCTATTTGTACATAAACATTTCCCACTGATAGTCCATATATGGATGAAAAGCAGAGTGCTGGAACTGGTGATCAGTCATTCAACTCTGAAAAGATAATAAATTAAAATATTATTGGCCATAACAATGTCCTATAGTATTACACTATTTTAGGGTATATTAATGACGTGTAAGGCCTGGTCCAGCAGACCATATAGTACCTGTAGCATTCTGAATCTTGGCTCTCCACAGCAGCGGTTGTCTTGAAGGAGAAAGAAAGAAATATATACAAATAAGCTCTAGAATATAAGTAAGTTTCCCAAGGAATGGAAAGTTCATAAGCTCTCTGCCTCTCATATTTCACAATTAACTTCTCACATTCTTCATTCCAGTGGAATCTTTGCAGCTTGTAAATCTGGCTACAAATATAGAAACAGGGATGTATAAATAAAAACATCCTTGGCAGATGAGGATCTTTGATCCTTGAAAAGCCATTATTTCTGGATGACAGTAACCACAACAAAAGTTACATTGGTTTACATCATCAACAAACCATTAATATCATGGATTGTCTGTTTTTTGGCTCTCTGTATTAGATTTGTGAAAAAAATGTGTTATGGAGAGTGAATTTGTTACCTAAAGTCCTCCTAATGCTAATCTGCCTAGGCTTACTACTACCGGTATCTCTGGTCTGGCAACATGCATGGTCTGGCACAGATGATGCAGGACCAGAATGTCTTGGTGAAGGGCCATGGCAAAGATCTTTTTGAGCCACACAGGGCAGTGGGCTGCCCATAATGAGTTGATGGTGGGGCCGCCCAGAGGGGTTGGGAGACCTGATGCATGGCTGCCCAGTGGGGCTGGGAGCTGTGGTAGCTTGGTGGGGTGGGGAACCATGGTGAACGGCTGCCCAGCAGGTCTCAGAGCCCCAGTGTGGCATGTGCCTTGCGGGTCCCAAAGCCCCAGTGTGGGGCTGTCCAGCACATCCAGGAGCCACAGCAGCAATGGCTGCCAGTGGGGTTGGCAGAAGGTGGAAAGCTGGCCGGGAGGTCAGTGGCTGGGTTAGGGGGACCAGTGGCAGGGATCCAGAAATGATCTCCCCATGTCTGGCAAAATCCCTCATCTGGGACCAGTCAGGTCCCAAGGGTGCCAGACCAGGGAAGTCCAACCTGTATTTCAAACTCTGAAGATTCCAAGTTAACAGAGATGTATAACAATAGGAATAGTGAGCATAAAAATTAGAGAATGAATCACTTACAAACAAGATCAACCTAAAATATTGCCCCATATTTAAAAGTGGAATGTACACGATAGCATGAAGTATCAGGGATAGCCATGTTAGTCTGAATCAGAATAAACAACAAGAAGTCCTGTGGCACCTTATAGACTAACAGATTTATTGGAGCATAAGCTTCATGGGCAAAGACCCACGTGCATCTGACGAAGTGGGCCTTTGCCCACAAAAGAGTATGCTCCAATAAATCTGTTAGTCTATAAGGTGCTACGGGACTTCTCGCTGTTTATACAATAGCATTAAGGCACACCTACTTTAGTCTCAGTCTTCACTGGAGTTCATTTCTATAAAAATTGATTAAGACTCAGCAACTGTTATTGAGGCTTATCTGGCATACACATAAATAAGTTGCCCTCTGTTGATATTAAAAGATTTGATTGGCCTAGGGCTACATATTTCATTTTCTAAAGGTATAATCATATGCTCTAAGTTCTTGTATTTTGTAATCAACAAATGGGCCTGTAGCACCTTAAGGTACGTCTAGACTACAGGCTTTTGTCGACAGAAGTTTTGTTGACATATACTGTAGACAAAGCTTCTGTCAACAAAGAGTGTCTAGACTACATCCAGTTTTGTTGACAAAGCAAGCCGCTTTGTTGACATGACAGTATAGACACAAAGGAAAGTGTAGATGCAATAACGCCTTCTGTCGACAGAACTCTGTCGACAAAAGGTGTTATTCCTCGTAGAATGAGGTTTACCGCTGTCGACAAAACTGCTGAGTTCTGTCAACGTTATGTCAACAAAACTCAGCAACAGTGTAGTTGCAGGTATAGTTTTGTCGACAAAAATCCACTTTTGTCAACAAAACCCAGTAGTCTAGACTCACCCTTGGAGACTAACAAAAATGTGGATAATATCATGAGCTTTCGTGGCCACAACCCACTTCTTCAGATGAATGGAGCAAGGGGTCCAGAAGTACCCCTTTTTGTTAGTCTCTAGGATGGTACAGGACCATTCATTGTTTAAGTTTTTTCAGTTACAAACATGGCTACCCCTCTGAGACTTTTAAACCTGCTCAGGGAGTTAGGTGTTCATGCCCAGGCTGGAAGAAAGTGTCTACTCTCTGACCAGGATCCATAGCTGGGAACTCTCTTCTGGAGTCAGGCTCTTAAGACATTTCTTGGAAAAGTGGCAGTGATACAGGCTGAACTTCACTCAAAACAGGTGTGCAAAAAGAGAGCAAGAAGGTGCCTCCTCCTCATAACCACTCTCCCAGGATGTGGGAGACCCTGTTTCAATTCCCTCTTTGCTTAAGGCAGGCATGTCCAAAGTCCGGCCCGCGGGTCAATTGCGGCCCGTGTTCCAGTTTAATACGGCCCCCCAGGTAATTTGGCAATATCTATCTTTTATGGCCCCCAACGAATCCATATGTATTGAGATGAATACATTGTAAAATCTCAGTTAATGTCAGTTGGTCTAAATCAGTTATAAATATATTTGGACACAACATGTATACTTGGTGTTATGTTCCTGTTCATATTTTTTGAACTTAAAAGTTGACAGACAACCTTTATTACCAATAATATGTAATGTACTTTACAATGTTCCTGACATATATTTCAGCTTCCTGGATTTTTTTTTCATCTGGCCTTCAGATATGAAAGGCAGAGTGATTTAACACCTGTTTAGATTTGTCATCCATGTGACGAAATGAAAAGTATGCCGTTTGCAATAAACTTTGCATAAAATAGTTAATTTGCATTTAATTTTAATGGTTCAAAGAATGTCAGGCAAAATGGTCGGCCCTCACGCATGTTCACTTCATCAAATCTGGCCCTCTTTGAAAAAAGTTTGGACACCCCTGGTATATAGCATTCCTTTGTATCAGGGAAGATCTAGAATTCAGAATGACCTTAGAAAAATCAATTAGCTGAATGTGATGAGATAAAGAATTCTCACTTTCCTCTGTTTATAGCATGTTCCTCCTCTAGATAGTCTTGAATGGAAAAACAATGTGGAACAACTTGGTATTCACATGTTCTTAGAGCTTTACAAAAATCTTCAGCATTATTCAGCAATCAAGTATAGCCGCCAACAATATCTTAATACTAGACAGTTTGGTACTTGAATACTAAAGTGAGTAACAGACCATAGATGTTGCATCTCATCTGTGTTTTTACAGTAAATAAAGCATGTATATCTTTAATCTGTCACTCTCCTCTTTACACTATATTAACATTTTCCCTTGTCTTCTATAAATCTAAGTCCAATAGAACTGTCAACCCTTTCTAAGGATTATTTTGAAGATGGACAGCTCTGACATTATGAATTAATTTTTTTTTATCAGCTTGTTTATCCAGTAAAACAAAAAATTGTTTATATTAGCATTGAAACAAGCTATGTTAGAATCAAAACCCTGCTGGAAACGGGTAATTTGGCAATATCTATCTTTTATGGCCCCCAACGAATCCATATGTATTGAGATGAATACATTGTAAAATCTCAGTTAAAGTCAGTTGGTCTAAATCAGTTATAAATATATTTGGACACAACATGTATACTTGGTGTTATGTTCCTGTTCATATTTTTTGAACTTAAAAGTTGACAGACAACCTTTATTACCAATAATATGTAATGTACTTTACAATGTTCCTGACATATATTTCAGCTTCCTGGATTTTTTTTTTCATCTGGCCTTCAGATATGAAAGGCAGAGTGATTTAACACCTGTTTAGATTTGTCATCCATGTGACGAAATGAAAAGTATGCTGTTTGCAATAAACTTTGCATAAAATAGTTAATTTGCATTTAATTTTAATGGTTCAAAGAATGTCAGGCAAAATGGTCGGCCCTCACGCATGTTCACTTCATCAAATCTGGCCCTCTTTGAAAAAAGTTTGGACACCCCTGGCTTAAGGGGAAAGGATTTGAACAGGTGAGTGCCCTAAGTGCCAAATTAAAAAGTCATTCTCATGCTCTCTGGCTCAATGTATAAATCATTC